AGTTGGTGAATAAGATGCAGATTATAGCAGGTAACCGGTAACCAAGTGGAGAATAGGATACATTTCGAAACAATTACCAGTCTGATGACTTATACACATTTCCCAGAATTTGGTGTTCCACAGAAATCTCTATAGACACGTTGACAATATTTTTAAAATTATTTACATATTGATATGTGATAGAAAATACTCTACTCTTTTTAATGCCTTTTTGCAGTGAACCCACAATTCGTCGCACACGAAAGAGTCCCAAAAATGTTTAGCACATTCTTACGATTTTAGCGGTAAGAAAAGAGGCTCTCGAAGACGCCCGCGCCCAAATCGAAAATCAAGTGCCAGTGCGTGCCTGGTAAAGAGATGCCCACCTCCGAATTTGGCTGAGGGTTACAGCTGGATGTGGGCCAAGTAAACAAGCGAGAACCACGAAAGAGAACACCGATGGCCAGCCATTATTAAGTATACGCAGCGTAAGCCGACAGATTGGTCTATTAGTTCAGTCCAGATGTTAGAAGCGGGAGAAAGGAACGAGGAAAAGTGGAAATGTGGAAACGCGTTAAGGGCTGGGAGAAAAACACAATGAAAGTGAGTGTGGAAGCCGGCATTTCGGATTTTAGGTCTGGGTTTGGTTTTGGTGTGGGTCGTCAACCTGCCGTCAGCGCGGGAAATGTGAAAAACAGCCGTTTTCCCCCATGGCGCCGGCGCACTGGCCCGTGAAAAACTCCATGGGGTGGCCAAAAAGGAGTTTCTAAGATGCAACGGCATGTGCACATCCCCCTTCCTCACCCCCAAAAAAAAAAGAAAAATTAAAACTAAAAGAGAGCGCGCCGCACCTTTATCCAAAAATTGATGGCTTTTCCTCGGTTATTGCTCTTCCTCCAGGAGTTCTCTGATCCTAATTGCACTTTTATTCCTTGGTGGCTCCTTGGCGAGTGCTTTTCCGGCTGGAGTTCACTTTTCACTACGAATTTCAACTGCTGTGAAGCCAATTATTTGGTCGCAACTGCAACAACTGCGCTGTGCTGACGGCAACTTCGCGGCACGAAAGCTCAAGAGCGACTGAGCGAAAAGCCATTGGAACCCCGAAAACCAAACCCCCAAAGCTTTTCTTTGAGCGGAATGTTGGGTTTCGGAACAACAGAAAAGCTCGCCGTTCGCCACGACTTTTTAACTCTCTACACTGGAAAATCGTTTAATAAAATACCTATTGTTTTGTTGGCTAGTAAAATCAATCGTAAGTTTAAACAAATTTAGGATAGTGGAAAGTTGCGTAAATTTTTTCCCTAGCTTGAAAAATTAACTGTTGAGTTTTGCACAGATCATAATTAAATATTTTTTTATAGATATTTTTAGTCAGGAGCTTTATCCTAATATTGCATTTATTATTCCAGCAGCCTTCATACTTTTGAAATTATTCAAGCACTTGCATATAATTGACTGGCTTGCTGTCAAAATTTATAAAATTACTTGCAACCTAAAATGAAAATTACCGCTTAAATCGATTAAAAAAGTTGAACTTTCTGCGTTTGTGAATAACTCAAACGAATGCTGATGCGCCGTGAGTTGAGTTGACTTGAGCTAACTTCTAATTGAAGCCTAATTAACAAACAGTTAGTGCTTCTAAGTTTTTCAAACGCTGCGGAGGCGAACTTTCAGGTCCCCAACCGACGGCTGGTGGACCATTGCCTTTGGAGCAGGGGTCACCGGCACCCAGCCAAAGCAAACCAAAGCAGAGCTGGCCAAACCAAACCTCTGGTCCATTAGGACGCCCAGCGTGTCACAAAGAAGCTGCATGCAAATCCAATTAGGAGCGTGGAGCGGCCAGGGCCCGAAGGTGGTGCAGCTCCTGGGTTGGATGGATAGAAGGATGGATGGATGGCTGGATGGCTGGATGCACGGTGGCTCACAATGGCCGGTGGAAGCCACCGAAGTTAGCCACTGACCCAATTATGCTAATACGGTGGCCAAACTTAAATGCCTTTGACGTCATGTCAACAGGATGCAGGGACGCGGGATGGATGAATGGATAGATGTCTGGGATGCGAGGGAACAAAGGCATGTGGCAAGACCGGCTTACACCTGGAGCAATATCCATTGCTGGAGGAATTGCGAAATATGACAAGATAATTGCATAAAAAAGGGTCCTTTGGCACACCTGAGACTTATTGGCTTGGCTTCGCATCAATGGTGGAATGGCATCCAGCTTGGTCACTCGACTCCCAATTGCTGTGCGCCATTCTCCACTCGCCATTCACCATTCGCCATTTCCGTGCATATTAGAAAATTACAGAAGCTCAAGTCGCACTTCAAAAACCAAGCAAAGGTGACACTGCCATCCAGCTGGTGCGCATGTCCCAAGCGTCCTTTATTTCCATCCCGTCCTCTCCTATCGTCCTGCCGTCCTGTCGACCTGTCGTCCTGCTCCTTTCGCCGGGCAACAGGTGCTCGCTGCGCGGAGCTTGGTGTGGGTGGTCGAAAGGATTGCCGTGGAGTTGGGTTTGGTGCGCTGCCCGCGAGGAGCTATAAAAGCGCTCGATGCGAGCAACTCGGCCGTTAGTCGTCCGTCCTCCGGCGTGGAACTCGATCCTCGCCGTGGGAGCAGCTATATTCCGTGCAACCGTAGCCACCGTCGGTTGAAATGTGTGTGCCAACTATTTAGCATCGCTGTATCCGTAAAATGTAACAGCACCCAGAAGACGGACCACGAAAATCAGCCACACAATGTCGCACCTGGTGATGAGGCGACGGATTCTGCTGCTGGTTTTGCTATTTGCAGGTGAGTGCATCCGTGTCAAGGGTCAGTGACAACAGGCACAGAAAACATTTCAAACGGAGTAGCTAAAGAGTGGAGATCATGGTTTTGCCCTACAACCAAAACCAACACTTTAAAACACTTAAATATCATAGACCTCAAAGGGGACCAACGTTCAGGGAAGTCAAATCTTTATAGAACCTTCTTCAGAATTCGCTTTTCTAATAACATTTCAAGCATTTCTGCTTGCAAGCGAAATGGTAAAATTAAAAATGCAGAAACCAAGATTTTCCGATGTTAAGATCCATGTCTCTCTTTTGATCCATATCTCTTTTTGATCCATAAAATATTTTAATAAGTCTTATTTTGAGATTTACATTTCCATTTGAAGCCCACCCATAAGGAAAGTAAATCAAAAATTAATTAAAACCCATTAAAATCAATTTAATTATATTAAAACCTGTGCATCCAACAAAATTGTATACAAAATTTAATACAAATTATTTGATTGTTCAAATAATTTAGTAACTGCCTGTTATAAACGGATCTGAAAATCAAATAAATCTAGGTTATAAGCGTAAACTGAAAATGTATTTGTACACTTAGTAATTTATTTTACTGCGACAAGAGGTAAATTGTTTTAGCAAAGACACTGGAATAATATAACACTAATAATAATATAATAGACACTATAATTATTCTAGTGTCCTTGGTTCCAGCCTGCTTATTGAATTACAAATAAAAGTATATGACAGCAATCCCATGGGGCAAACTTCATCGCAACTATCGCACATTTTCGGCAATTTTTCATTTCTCGGCACTTGTTTCAAATTGAAACCTGACCTTTTATGAGCCGTCATTGCGCCTATCACTAATTAAAATCTGTAGGGCACTAGCGGAAATTGGAAGTCATGTCGTTTTGGCAACCAACCCTGTTTGCACCCAAGTGGCTACCCGAAATCCTGCGGGAGCACACACAATTAATGGGCCCGTCTGCCGATATGCTTCTCCACCGGCAGGTCCTGCGGTACTGCGAAGCGCACCTTTCGGCGGCGCACAGGTGGCGATAGCGACATCGCCAGCCAATGGTCGTGGCCGCCAAATTCCGCCGGAGTGGCAACGGGACTGGGAGTTGGATCCGGACTGGGGCTTCACTGGAAGTGAGGACGGGGACTCCGTTGCGCCGCCGACGTCACGCACACTGGACAACCTTTACTCTTTCGATGGCGGAAATCCCCCGCCAAAAGCCAGTGAAGCGGAAATGGATAACCAATTCGGAGATAGCTATCTCGGCACGTATCCTGCATTGTTGGGTCGCCAGTGGCACCTTCAGCACCGCAAGCAGCTGCAGGTGCAGCACAAGTGGCAATCTCCGGCTCCTCCACTTGCGGAGGTCAAGGCTAAGAGGGATCCCGCCAACTGGCCACCCGACGACGAGGAGCCACCGCTTCCGTACCCCTACGCCTACAACTTGCCCTGGAAACGAAAGAACGTCCCGGAGTCGCTCCGATATAGGCCCTCGATCAGTGCTGGTAAATATTTTGGTGCTCTGGGTGGGATTTGATCGATCGATCGACTTATGGACCTCATTAAACCTCAATCGAATGATTTCCTTTAAACGATTGGTTCATGCATACATTTGATTTATTGATGGACCTTGTGAACCCAAAACGCTGCTAGTGACATCCGTTCTACATTCCAGGAGCCATGACCAATCTGGGTGGTTTTTTCAACCGCCTGGAGGCGAACTTGCGCTTCGCGGAGCAGTCGCAGCTGGGCGAGTCGGAGACGCGAATGCTGGAAGGGAAGCACCCGCACCCACTGCACCTGCCGCCCGTGCCGCCCGACGCTCCACTAGATTCCGAGCAGCAGCAGGAGCACGACCGGAAGACATCGAAGCTCCTCCAAGCCCTGCGCAGCTACCGGCCCTCCCAGAAGATCCGATCGCTGGTGTCGCGCAATCCGCAGGGATACCGCGGCTCCCAGTTCATAGATCCCAGCTACATGTGGCTGGGTCTGGGCAAATGACAGTGAGACCGCCGGAGCAGCAGCATGGGAACCTAAGTAGCTGCAACGAATGCCGCCCCAAAATTCGATTTAATGTATGCCCTCTGTGTGTGTAGAAATATATGTTTGAAAGCAAAAACAAACACGTGTGTGCTAAGTCTTAAGGAATGGTATGTATATTATTTTCGACAGGAAAAGTAAAAAAAAAACGTTTAACACACCACCCAAATCATTTTCAATGTGATTATGTATATAAAAAATATATTTGTTTGAGCCAATCGAAATATCGAGTATTGGCCATATCGTTCGAATATACGTATAGACACATTCGCGTTGGAGTAAATATATGGGATGTATACACGGATATTCGTTCTCTGATAACTTTGAAATACAACGTAGTATATAGTTTTGGTGTTACTAGCTAGAAAAATATTGTGTTAGTCTGGGAAGCCCCATGGGAAACATTCGAAAAATACATAATGCGATTAGAGCTCGCCAAAACGGAAGCTGCACTCCGGCTTAAATCTTGGTGTAGCTGGGATAGGAGTTGGTGTGCTGGGTTGGCGGCGGGATCAGCGGGCGCTGGATCGCACTGGATGCCTGGATCTGCTTGAAGAGCGAGTAGATGCCGTAGTAAAGATACCAGCTCAGCACTGAAACGAGCAAATGGAGAAAACTTAGCATCGTGTCCGAGTGTAATTACGTTACGATCGCAGACCGTTGAGCGATAAGCGCAATGGGGATCCACAAGTTCGCAACAACCAACAATGTGTATACCCATTTCCAGATATAGATGTATATATATGTATCGTGGTGATTCACTTACCGAGCAGGCCCACAATTACAAACAGGAGTGGAAGGGCGTTCGGGAAGGGCATACTTTCGGCGACACTGGCAAATACTGCAATATTAATGATAATTCCAAAGCCAAGCAGGATTCCATTGTTGATCAGCCAGGGCAGCAGCAGCAGATGACGTTCCTGAAGGGCAACAAAACTCTATCAGAACCTTCTTTATCACTACTTGGTATATGTGTATGAATGTATGAATGCACATATGAATATGCATGTGCGCCGAGAGCCTCAGAGGGTTTTTCACAGACTTGTGGGGTTTTTCAAAGGCCTAGTTCTTGACATATAGCACAGATTGCACATTGTTACCAGAACTTACCTTAACGGTACCAGCAACCAACATGGCAGAGGCCAGAAGATTAATCAACTTGAGCGCCAGGTAAACACTGAAAGTTCCGATTAGCACTGCAAGAAGCACAAAGAACAATGCAATATGGGGTTTTCCGTGGGTGTGGGTGCATTTAATGGTTAGAACTTACTACTGCGAATCTCGGTGACGGTCATGTCGGAATTTGTGGAATCTTTGGCGATCTGCTGCGCAATTTCATCCACGAATCCGAGGCACACGGACAAAAGGATCGTGGCCAAGAAGGAGAAAATCACGCCCAGCCATCCAATGACCACACCATAGGTGTTCAGGCGCATGCAAAAGACCCTGGACAGCATTTTTGGCTCTCTTGATTTCGTACTAGTGCGGATAAAGGCAATCCAACTCAATTCAACTTGACCGGCGCAGTGAATATGCAATTGCTTAATAAGTCGCAATTCACAATTCGCCGATAGCTGAAAGCTTTTGAGAGCGGCGATGCCAGACTGCTGCAATTATTTTGCTTCCAAACTGTGACTCGTTCACCAGCTATTCATTTGATTTTTTAACGTTATTTAGCGTGCATCAATTATTTTATATTCGATTTTTATTTTTGTAACATGTGCACTTACTTCGCTTAGGAATTAAAAAAACTTGTTTAATGCACCACTTTGATTATAATACAGTAACGGGTATAATAATCAAAGTCGTGCATAAGTCGTAGAGTAAAAGCAAAGACACTAGAATAATGTGATGTGATGTGATGATGTAAGATGATGTGATGTTGTAGAAATTCAAAAAAATTAGGAAATTTTCCATGGTTGAAGTTCTAAACTCTATAACTCAATATATTTATTTTATGTACTTTTACGCTGTAAAACAGCTGTACGCGTTTCTAAATTAATAAATAAATTAAATAAATGAATAAATTAGAATTAAAATTAATTAAAATAAAATTTACGCTCCATAATTAATATCATTACGATTCTGTAGCTTACTTCGACATGTTATCCATTCCACCATAAAATGATTCCACCATCATAAAGACGCAGATCCATGCAGGAATTGAATATGCGCTTATATCATTTTTAGGAAAATATCAAACATAGTTGTTCAGCGCTGCATAAAAAGTATTTTCATGTTGCTTAGTTTCCCCAACTGTTTCTTCTGAGCGGCATCAGCCACTCGGCTACAGTTGTTATTTGATCCCTGCCCAGTGCGGTTGTGTTTCAGTGCGCAGGGGATTACTAACCGGTTCTAGTGCCATACTAGTTGTACTCAATTTTTGTTTGGAAAATTCTCTGTAACAGAGTTCCACAATGAAAATCAACCTGACGGTGGAAAATGGCCCGTGCAACACCGAACTGCGGGGCTGGTGCCTGGCAATTGCGATCTACTGGCTATTATCCATGACTTCCAGCGTGATACTCGCGCCAAACGGTGTGTGAAATGCGAGGCGTGGCATTTGTTTATTATAATTTTCATATAGAAACAATACATCCACGGCGTTCACATACGAAATAAGCGAGTGAGCTAATCCATTCGAGACAAACGCGTTCCAATTCACAACCATTTTTGATACATAACCTCCATCGATGACGACATCGCCGACGAATTCGAGCTGAAATTTCATTCTAGATGTGTATATGCCCATTTTCTCACAGGCTTGAAATTCTCTTTCCAAAGAAAATTAAATAATTTCCCTTGGCTTTGCATGGCACAGAACTTAATTAAAAAGGTTAAATTATGGTATTCGGTTTTAACAGTTCAACCAACCACTTTATGTTATCAAAACATCTAAAAGATTTTTTAAAGCTTTAACTTTATCGTTTAAAATACATATGTGTTTAAAATAAATGAGAACTGATTTTTTGAGACGGGTTAAGGGTTTGTGTGTTAGTTGTTGATAAATATCTCCATATACTCGATACTATACTATACTATATATACTATACTGTTTTCCTTACACGCTCATCATATAAGGCAAAGATATATTTTAAAATTGCTATTGCTTTCATATCCTTGCAGCTCTTAACTTTGTTGGATTTGCCATCATTGTAGTCGCCAACATATGCTTGCTGATAGGAACCCTAAGGGTAAGTACAACACAACCCACAGGCTTTGAATTACTCAACAAACCGCAATACACCTTTCCGATTTCCAGGAAAAGTTCGTTCTGCTGCTCGTCTGGCTGATATTCGCCGCCATCGAAGTCATATCGTTTCCCTTTGCCGTCCTCGGGGTTATCTTCCACTTCGGTGGATACCGCGAAGCCACCGGAACGGACAGCGTTTTCTTGTCCCTGGTTATCTACATAATCACGTTTCGTATGTATTGGGCATGACCACCAAATGGTGTAAACAAAAATGCACACGCCGTACATACTCACCCTTCCACTTTCAGTATTGATCCTCTTCAGCGCCCGCATCGTGTACTCCTTCTACCTCCAGCTGAAGAACAACGAAACCAGCAAACAGACGCCGCGCGCCATGAATGTGGTTTAGTCATTATTATTGCACATCAATTGTGGGGGAAGCCAACCCCACCGTTAATCTCAGTGTTTGCAATAAAATGCTTCGTTTTTTATTTGATTGCAGTTTGTCGTTAACGCACATCTGTTACTCACATCGACTCGGGATCAACTATCAACAGTTAAATACATTGGTTACATATACATACAGGGTGCTATTGGCTATTGGGCTACCGCGTTCTTAAACATTCAACATTTAAAACGATCGATCACACTACGGACAATTATATACTCTCGACCAAGTTCTCTATCTATCTAGCTATCATACTCGGCATCGTCTTCTGCTCCAATCTGCTTACTTAGACATAAAATGGAAAGTTGGTCTTCTTATTGTTGCTGCTGTTGCTGATGTTTTGCGACTGGGAAAAGCTCGTCTCGGCATTTTGTGTAGTTAGCTTAGCTTGCACGGCGGCCAGAATGCGCACAGCCTGGCCAGCACTGCCCGACTCCATGGCAGACTCCATACCCAGGTTCAGGTTCAGGTTCAGCTTGAGCTCGAATTGTGACCCACTCGCTTGGATCTGCGACTGTGTCTGCCGGTGGGCAACGGCCGGTTTTCATCTCGGCGTGGTTATGCTGGGCAGCTTCTCCAGAAAATCGTTGGCCAACAGCTCTTCGATCTCCTTCAAGCAATTCGCCACATCGTTCTCCGTGTCGGCAAAGTTACGCGGCTGGGGGCAACTGATACCCAGCGTGGTGAAAAAAGCATACAGCTCTTGCAGCGATTGCAGTTGTTGAAAGTGCAACATCAGGTGTTTATTGCTGGGGCGTTGCAATAGCTGGAACAATTCCAAAGCGATAGTTAGCCAGCTGACGCATAGGATGAGAGACGGAATTACTCACCGGCGACTGACTGGTGTACTTCATGTCCATCAGCCTAGCCACTCGCCTTACATGCGGCACATAAAGGGCGGTGGGCAAGGTAGCCAGGTTCTCCAGACTTCCGTTCGGCAGCCGCACCTCTTCCTCGTGAACATCGAACTCGGTGCCCACAAAGGCCCATCGATACATCTGGAAATGTGGCAGCTTGGTGGCGGGCAGCACACAACCCAATTCAAGCAGCTTGCAGGCCTCCAACTGCACAGATCGCCAGTGCTGCATCGGTGTCTGCGAATTGTAACCATTGCTAGCTCCAGAAGCAGCGGACCAGGACACGTCAATCCCAGAAGGCATGCGCATTTGTTGGCTGAAAATAATGATACTATTAGTTTGAGTGCTCTTTTCGCGTAATTTCCTGTTTGACTCACTTCCTCTCTTCGCTCTCGGATTTGAGCTCTTGTTCCATTTGCAGAAACACCTGCACCATTTCCGCAATTATTATGGGCCACAGCGAGGTGACGTGGTCGGGTGACATGCGAAGGAGCAGCACGCGGAAGCACAGGAAAACGGCCGCTTGCACGGAAGGACCCATGGGAACTAGCCGCAGACTGTTGGCCAATTGTTCTAAGGAAAAATAAAATATTAGTGCTGATGTCACTCGATTCCCCAAAGTGATGATACTGAGCAATAAATAGCAATTACAAGTTTTTCTTAATTGCTCAAACGGTTGCCCAAACGGTTGTGGTAAATATACCCAAATGTTGACTTTTCGTTTACTTACCCTGGATGTCTGGCATGTACTTGTTGTGCTGGTCGAACTCGCTGCAATAGATAACGAAGGCAAGTCGCTTGAGCAACATGGACCGCTGCTCGTACTCTTGATCCCGGGAGCTAAAGATATTCAGACTGCCCGCCTGCGAGAGTGAGACGCGGGTCATTAGCTCCCGGAACGTGGTGTTGTCGTAGGTCATCAGGCTGTCCATGATCATGCGCCAGAAGGGCAGGCACGAGAGATGCATCTGGAAGAAGGCGTTGTCCAGCAAAAGATCCAGCATATCCTTTCGCCAAGCTTTCCTAGTGTACTGGTAGCCACTCAAGCTGGCCAGCAGAGCAGAGCAGGCGTAGAAAAAGGGAACATTTCGAGCAGTGTGGTTCTTCAAATAAGGGGTAATATTGTACAGCAGCGGCGTCACTATGTTCACCACCTTGTCCTTCTCCTGCGAACCGTAGGCGACGTCCAGTAGATTTGAGAGTATTGCTGCGAGAACACTCTGAGCCTGCAGCGAATATTGCTGTAGACCTCCGCCTCCAACACTGTTATCCTTGGCTAGCCCATCGGTATCTTCTTTTACGGCCAGATTGCGACGCAGCCAGGTGGTCTGCTCTAGACAGGATCCAGCCACGCTAGAGAGGGAGTCCACCAATCGAGAGGTAACATCATGTAGCTCACGCACTTCTTTCTTGTCCTGGAAGGGCATCTGCGGGCAGCGCTGAACAAACTCGTTGAGTAGCATCAGCAAAGCAAACTGCGCCGGTGGTGTCAGATTCAAGCCGTCCCGGATGAGGGCCAGTAGCGAGCTCCAGGCATCCGCTAATTGAGGAGCAGGTGCCGACTTCATGTAGAAGTAGAAGAGCTCCAGAGCACTCACCTCAATGCTGAGCTGAGCAGGTGGCCGATGAATTGGCGGTGGTGAGCGCACAACATGGTGCAATGTCATTACGAAGGAGTCCATGGGCATTACACGTATGCTGGATACTAGTGACACCAAAGAAAGCTGGGCAGGACATGCCTGTAGCACGGAGTTCTTCTGGAACTGCTCTGCGATGCTTAATCCGCTCATATTTGTTGCAATTCCCCGCTGCTGCCAGGTGACAGCTACAGCCGCGAGGAAATTGCAGCCGTGATGCAGGGAAACCGGAGATAGGAACTCTAGAAGCTGCTGCCGAACCGGGCGCAATTGTCCCAGCTCGCTGTCCCATATGGCAGCCACACTGCTCATTATCCTTGGGAGATGCGATAGGACCGCATTGCGAGCGGCCAGCAGTTGGGGATTCCTTGGGGCCGGCGCTGAAGTGGAGGATTCACTGGCCGACAGGAAGGAATGAACGATGCTGTTGAGCAACTGACCCGTGCTAGAACTCTGCGCCGAGGAGCTGGTCTGCGGGTAAGCCTGGTTAAACAGGTGTGACAGCGCCGTCTGCTGCGTATTGTCTAGTAAACAGTAGTGACACAAGATGGTTAGAGCCTCCAGTTGGGATACCACATAATCCGGAGGGAAGTGTCGCTGCTGGGGTAGCCCCATCTTGGAAATGCGGTCGAGATTGCTGCACAGCTGATGCACTACGCTGATCACAATGTTCGTGAGTGAGCCAAAGGAAAAACAATTGAGCGAAGAGGTCACCAAATCCGTCCAGTTGCGGTGCAAGTGTCGCAACCGTTCTTGCTGCAGTGCACCCAACACTGCGGCCAGGAACATCGGCTGCTGGCTAATCAGACAGTTGGGAAGGTACTTCACATTGGCCGTCGCTCCCTCTGCTAAGCGAGTGGGCGACGCATTGCCTGTTGAGTCCTCCCCAGCTGCGGGTGGCGTATCCTGGCGGAGCTGATGAACCTCGTGCTCCAGGCGGATTACAGCCAAAAGCAAACGTAGCAGTTGAAGCTGGAAGCAGTCTGCATGCAGCTGATCGTCCTGAGGATCGTTGAAACTGAGCACCTGCTCCGCATAGCTGCCACTGTTACTGTTGGCTTTGCGACCGTAACTGCACACAGAGCTGTTTAGGCAGTGCAGCATCACCTTCTGGAGCTTGGCGCGTGCCAACAAATCGGCAATATAGTTGGCCAGACCCCTGCCCATGCCCTTGACAATCTCTATGAGTTCCGAGCAGATTAGGGTCAGCAGTTCGATGCTCTCCAGCTGAATTCTCCGATTATTCACAATGTCCTGCAGTGTTGGAGGCTGCCGCTGGGCATCCAGCGATTCTTTCTGAAAGTATCCACGCGCGTAGAACAAACAGAGCGTGACCAGCAGCTCCAGTTGCATGCAGCCCCGATAGCCTTGTGCATACTCGAAGCTGCCTACAACCCCATCAAATCCTTTGCCGGAGATGCTCTTCCGATGGCGCACGAGCAGTTGCTTCAGACTTGCACTCGAAAAGGATGTGGTGATTGACAAGCAAAGGAAGGTACGTTTGTCGCAGCAAATGATGTTGCGAAGTGTCTGCAGGGCATACAAGGTCTGACGGGTGTCATAAATAGCTAGGTAAATCAGCAGGTGGTTGTGGTACAGGTGAGCCGCATCTGTCAGGGAAACGGTGCTCTTCATGGAGCTGCGCACACTGATCTGCTCATCTGCGGCCGCCGCCGCTGCGGCAGCTGCAGCTGCATTATTTTGCCGTAGAATCTCCACATTCTGCTTGCCCTTTTCTAGGGTTTTCTGCATATCTGGCTGAAGTTTGCTGGTCTCCAAGCTGAGGTTACGTCGTTTGTCTTCTACGTTGATGGTGGATTCGGTTGCAGGCTCTGTTTCTTCCTCCTGCTCCGGTTGTTCTACATGGGAGCCACTGATGTTGCTGTCAGTGGAGGTCTTTGAAATGCAGCTTAGACGTTTTTTGTCCCCAGATGTGAGCAGCTTCTTACGCTTCCCCAGCTTCTTGTCTTCCCTGAAATATTCATCAGCGGGAAGCGCATCTACCTGCAGGTCAGAAATACTATCGTGATCCTTCTGCTCGACCGAGTTAAGACTGGCTTCTCCTGGTGTTTTCTCCCTGGTTAAACGATACGTCTTGCGGCTCTTGATCTTCTCGTGCTGAGTCAATGCGTCCGTGACACTTTCACAGTCGCCCACGAAGCGCTTAACATCATCACTAACTCCTGCACTGGAACTGACAGTGAGGCTGTCTTCCTTCTCTATGCTTGTTTCGCGAAGCTCGGAGTCCGACTCAAAATCGCTACTGTCCGAATGGTCTGTGATATCCTGGTCATATTGAAGGCTCTGATCTGGTTGATGAGCTGGTTGCTCCTGCGAAGGCTGCTCACTCTCGTCCATTGCGCTGGCTAGTTTCTGTTCCAGCGGGGTCTCCTTGTGTGGGATCTCGATACGGGGCTCCTCGAGATCCGTCTCGTCGTCAAAGTCGTTGGCATTCTCAAGTGGATTGATTATCAGACCAATGGTGTTTATATCCTGGGTGGCCTCAGCGCAAGTGGCGACAGTAGATTTGTCGCTAACAAAGTTAGATA